TAAACAAATGCAGTTCTTCTATTTTGTTACCCTCAAGATAGCTTTATTTTTTAATTCCCCAAATGATACATGCTCACTGGAAAAATAACTTCCGACAAAACAGAAGTGTATACATGCCAGTCTGCAAGAGGAAACTGCTGTCTGGCATTTGGTGGTGTGGTCCTTTAAAGATCTTTTCACACACACACAAACAATTATTAAATTACTTGTTATTCAGATATAATTCACAGACCGTAAAAGTCACCATTTCAAAGCATACAATTCTGTGGGTTTTTGTTTTTCTTAATTCTGTGGGGTAACTGCCTCGCCTAGTTCCAGAACATTCTAAGCTGGTTCCTATGAGGCAAAGGTTGAAGATGTCCCACATGCGCAACTTTTCCAAACCATTATAGTGTCAGCTCCCCCTCGTCCCCTTAGAACCTTCCTTCACATCTCACAGTTCACCGGTTTCTCAGGGAAGTAGCAAGGTGCACTTCAGGAGCTGGTCGGAGCCTAACGTAATAGGAGCAGCGCAGGATGTCGTTCTTCATGGAGATAGCTTCTTCTTGCCCCCTCTTGCAGGGCCCTTCTTGGACAAGTAGCACAACTTTTCACTTAGTGTCTTTCGCTGTAAGCCTCCTGGGCTGACGAAACTGACCAAGGCCCTCAGCGGAGTGCCAGGCACTTTATTTGCATGGTCCCACTTCCACAAAGATTCCAGGCACCTTATTTGCATCAGCAGTGAACTGTCTAATCCTCTTGATGGGCTCCAAGCACCTCCTTTGTGTAGGCCTGCCCAATCAATGTGGGGGAGTCAGGAAGGCGACCTTTCCCAGCTCCTGGCTGTCATTTCCAACTCACAGGGACCCTAGAGAGCGGAGTAGAACTGTCCAGGGGTGAGGTTCAAACCCTCTAACAACCAGTTTGCTGCCCTGATGACCATTTTAAGTATACAAAAAGACAAACCGAAAGTTAGCTTATTATTTCATATAGGTAATGCTTAAACAAGAACAATAAAAGAGGTATGTGTTAAAAAAGAGTACGGAATGCAAATTTATGATTTCCACCTTGGGCTGCCGTCTACCTGCCCACCTTGGTGAGAACTCTGATTGCAAGTGTCATTGTAACAACCGGTTAGTCAAACTCAACAAACAGACCAAGCATTGGTTCCACGGAGCCGGTGAGAACTGGCTGAATCCCACCACTGGCCCTGCCGCTGTGCGTTTCTGAGACTAAATCTTTATAGGAGTAGAAAGCCTCATTCTTCTCCTTCAGAGCAACTGGTGGGTTCAAACTATTGAC